ACAGCGCCCCTAGAGGACAGAGTGGAACTGCCCCACAGGGTCTCCAAGGCTGTCAATCTTCACAGAAGCAAAGCCCAAACCACACCCACTGCCGTGGAGTTGATTCTGACTCACAGCGCCCCTAGAGGACAGAGTGGAACTGCCCCACAGGGTCTCCAAGGGTATCATCTTTATGGAAGCAGATTGCTACATCTTTCTGCCACACAGCAGGTGGTGGGTTCAAACCGCTGACCTTTTGGTTAACAGCTGAATGCTTTAATCACTATGCCACCAAAGCTTCTGAACGCACATATACACAGCATTAACTATTATTCAGTTTTGCAGCATCTGAAATGAACTTCAACGACACCCCTGTTGAAGTTGCTAAGACAACAGATGCTGAATTTCAGGACCATGCATATAAGGTGTTTACAGAGGTGAACTTATGAAAACAGTGCCCACAGCAGGCAGTAAAATTGCACCCCTGTTCAAAGAGCTGACATCCATCTTGCGGATGACTTTACCACGTTATCAGCTCACATACAACAGTGGAGCTGGTTCATCTTTCCCTTCATGACTGATGGTGCTACATGAAAGTGACAACTGCCCCTCCTTGCTTTCTCTGGGCTAGAACACTCTCTGTCATTGCAGTGTCTCCCTTTTCTACACTCAGCACAGCAAGATCACCCGTCGGCCTGGACCCACTGAGCCTCTCAAACACCACAGCGTTGGTTTTAACTGGCTGGATGCTCTCTCCAGCTCATGATGGAAACTGCAAAGGATAATTAATAGATACCACTCAGTGGGACCCCCTTCAAGTGTCACCCCAGGCACGTGTCCTACCTGCCAGACCTTAGATCTGCCTCTACATGTTCAGACATGTAGAAGAAGGGAGCCTTGGCTGTGCAGTGGTTAAAGTGCTGGCTGCTAAGTGGGTCAAATCCCCCAGCTGCCACCTGGGAGAAAGACATGGCAGTATGCTCTTCCCTAGCGATGCCAGCCTGAGAAACCCTGTGGGGTCATTCTATTCTGTCCTCTGGGGTTGAGTTGGAATTGACTTGATGGCTATGAGTTTTTGGTAGTCATGCAGGGAAGGAGCCCTGGTGGTACAGTGATTACAGTGCTCAGTTGCTAATCAAAAGCTTGGTGGTTCAAACCCACCCAGCAGCTCCATGGGAGAAAGAGCTGGTGAGCTGCTCCTGTAGAGCTGACAGCTTAGGAAACCCTGTGGGGCAGTTCCACTCTGTCCTCTAGGGGCGCTGTGGGTCAGAATGGACTCCACGGCAGTGGGTGTGGTTTGGGCTTTGCTTCTGTGA